TAAAGAAGTTGAGCCCTATGATGGCCCTACCTTTTGGCCTGAAGAACGTTTTCTAGGCTGTATCACCTAGGATGAGAAGGGATACCCAAATAGAGCTGGCAGTCTATTGAGGTGAGACAGAGGTAAAAGTTCAGAAAGTTAAAGCAGCTAGAATTTGTGGGTAGAGTATTTGAGAGAAGTTTTGCACAGAGAGAGAAAGAGGTTTCCACTAAACTTGCACTGTCTAGTACAGTAGCTGCTAAACATATGTAGATATTTAAATAAAAATTTGTTTTCTGAGTTGCCCTAACCACATTTCCAATGCTCAATAGCCACAATTCCATCATCACAGAAAGTTGTGTTTGACTTTAGTGCCTTAGATTCTCTAGCTGAGTGATAATCAGGTCATGATTAGTGACACAATTAACCCAAGGCCAGAAAAGGACCACTAGAAAGCATTAGATAAAACAGTCCCTGTTATACAGGACCATACATATGTTGTGTTTCCACTAGCTAGAATAGAAATACCCTCTCACCTGGGGCATTGTTGAGTCCTTAGAAGGGTATTGCTTCAATAATGGTGTCAAATTAGCCCTGGTCTAAAGGATTTACCTAACAAAGCATAAAAGCAAGCCTTACAAGGATTGTTTCCAAGTCACTAATTCCTAAAACAAAGTTCAAAATTAAAGAAAAAATTTTAAAACTCCAGCAAATAATACAAAATTTACAACATTTGACATCCAATCACAAATTATCAGGTATACAAAGAAGCAAAGAATACAGTGTATATTGAGGAGAAAAACTTCTAAAAATGAAAATTACAACTTCTGAAATGAAAAAGATGGTAGGATTAACAGTAGATAGGCATTACTGAAGAAAAAAATTAATGAATTTGAAGGTAGCAATAGAAACATCCAAAATAAAACACAAAAAACAATAAAAAGTATAATTAAATGGTGATAAATGAATGATGAATGAGCAATGGAACATCAGGCAGTCTAAGAATACCATGTAGCCCTGGCCGGTGTGGCTCAATTGGTTGAGTGTCGTCCCATGCATCAAAAGGTCACTGTTTTAATTTTGAGGCCTCTCTCCTTAGCGTAAGAGTCAGCGGATCGATGTTTCTCATATTGATGTTTCTGTCTCTCTCCCTCTCCCTTCCTCTCTCTCTCTCTCTCTCAAATCAATAAAAACATATATTTTTTAAAACATGTATAATTGGAGTCTCAGGAATGTGGGGCTAGCGATAGAAAAATACTTGATGAAGCAATGATAGCATGTTCGCTAAACTTAATGAAAACTATAAACTCACAGATTGAAAAAGTTTACTGAAGATTTTCTCTTCATCTTTGATTTTCAAACAGTTTGATTATGATAGCTTTGGTCTAGCTTTTTATGAGGTCTTTGAGGTGCTTGAATTCATGAGAACCCAAAACAGAAAAATCGTAAAGAGAACTATACCAAGGCACATCTTTTTTTTTTTTCTAATTTTATTTTATTTTTTTTCTTCAAGTTAGTTTTATTTTTATTTATTTATTTTTTATTTTTTATTGCTTAAAGTATTACAAAGGGTATTACATATGTGTCCATTTTTTCCCCCCGCCCTTGACAGTCCCCTAGCTTTCCCTATGCCCCAGTGTCTTATGTCCATTGGTTATGCTTATATGCATGCATACAAGTCCTTTGGTTGATCTCTTACCCGCCTCCCTCTCGCCCCCGAACCCTCCCCTCAAACAGAGTGTGTCAAACTGCATCGGGAAGGCCGGCCTCCTTTTACTATATTTGCAGAAGTCTACATTTATTCAT